ACCAGTGTGGTGTAGTGGTTAAGAGCGGTAGACTCGTAATCTGGGGAACCGGGTTCGCATCTCCGCTCCTTCACATGCAGCTGCTGGGTGACCTTGGGCTAGTCACACTTCTCTGAAGTCTCTCAGCCCCACTCACCTCACAGAGTGTTTGTTGTGGGGGAGGAAGGGAAAGGAGATTGTTAGCCGCTTTGAGACTCCTTCGGGTAGTGATAAAGCAGGATATCAAATCCAAACTCCTCTTCTTCTACTCTTCTTCCTCCTTACAAACTGTATGCTTACAAACTGTAAGCATGGAACAAACCTTGGCTATAGGTCATGGTTAAGGTGGAGAGACCTTAGCTGTGATTACTGGTTTGAAAGACTCATAATGAGCTAAGAACAGCCAATGGCCCATCTGGTCCAGCATATTATCCTCACAGCAGCCAACAATGTGGGAAACGAGGAGGGCAAACAGGAGCACAAGAGCACTCTGCCCTCCTGTGGTTTCCAGCAACTGGTATTCAGAAGCATTGCTGCCTCCAACTGTGGAGGTGGCGCATAGCCATCATGGCTTGTAGCCATTGATAGCTCTCTCTCTCCTCCATGAATTTGTCTAATCCTCTTTCAAAACCATCTAAATCAGTGGCCATCACTGCCTCCTGGAGACCAAGTTGCATAGTTTGAGTGTGCACTGCATGAAGTTGAGGTTTCTTTTATCCATCCTAAATCTTCCACACACTCTGCCACACTTCAGTTAGCTAAAAAAAACCCACAGAGGGGCATAGGAGGTGCAAATTGTTCTCTGGGACCTCTCACATTCAAGTGGCCATGGTAAACCATAGCCTAATGCAAAATCATTTAAAAAGCAAACTCTATTGTAGAGTATAATTGGCGCTTGATAGACACCATTCCATCAGCTTTACATCTTTACAGCTTTGCCATGCATGGACTGCATACTTTGGAGAGGGGGTATGGAGGTTCTTTCTAGGATGCTTCAAGCACTTTCCGGCAGGCAAATTATTATTTCAATTATTGATTGTCAAGCACATTGTTTTCTTACTAGTGGCTTCTGTGCAGGAAAGCATTAGCAGTGACACAACCGCTTATCCCTTATGACAGTCTAGCTCATTATAAATAAATCAAAAAACTTTTGTTTTTTAGCCTGTAGCAAAATGGTGGCAAGGCATCATTGTAATCTTCCAGTGATTCGATTGCTTTATTCATTCAGACACAACCCTATGGTTCTTCATAGTGGTTTTTAATGGTTATTTTCTACCTTGCATGTTAATTATTATTGCTATCCAAGAAGGACCTTAGGTTTAGTTTAATTTTCCTGGAATTAGATATGAATGGAAATTAATAAAATGCACTAATATCCTCCTTTTGTTATAACTACTTTGGATAATATATAATTATTCCAATTTTACAGATGTGTATCTAAGTCTGGGATATCCAAGTCCACTTGGTAGCTGATGGTGGGAGAGGAATTCAAACATTCTAGGTTAACATTCAGTAGACTAATACAAGTTGCCCCTTGTGATTAAAATTCAAGTTAAACTATCCAAAAATTTATTACCTGAATAACAGACAGAAACTTGGATATGTTGCAGAGCAAGAGAGAGAGAGAGAGAGAAACATTGGCTGCATTCACATGACAGATTATTATATTTCCCATTTATGAATTTCACCTTTAGCCCCACAAGTGCACCCAGTGCATGTTAGAAGAGGGAAAGTACAACAAAACTATAGGGACACGGGTGGCGCTGTGGGTTAAACCACAGAGACTAGGACTTGCCGATCAGAAGGTCGGCGGTTCGAATCCCCGTGACGGGGTGAGCTCCCGTTGCTCGGTCCCTGCTCCTGCCAACCTAGCAGTTCGAAAGCACCTCAAAGTGCAAGTAGATAAATAGGTACCGCTCCGGCGGGAAGGTAAACGGCGTTTCCGTGCACTGCTCTGGTTTGCCAGAAGCGGCTTAGTCATGCTAGCCACATGACCCGGAAGCTGTACGCCGGCTCCCTCGGCCAATAAAGCGAGATGAGCGCCGCAACCCCAGAGTCGGCCATGACTGGACCTAATGCTCAGGGGTCCTTTTACCTTTACAACAAAACTGGCCTTTTACCATATATATAAAAGAGAGGAGGCTACACCAACTACAGTGCCAATAATCAAGTACCGGTAGTAATGAGTCTCAAAAGACACCTTATTTGATTTTTTTTTAAAGGAGATCACATACGTATACTATACAAAAGAATATAAGCCTCACCACCCCACCCCTCCTCTTCCCCCCTCTTCTTCCCCAACCTTATACTGTACTCAACACTAATGTCTCACAACAAATGTAACTGATTTTTAAGAACGACTGCACAATCTGAAAAAAGAGCCATGGCATGTACTTTTGTAAACCAAAAAATATTTAATAAGACTTTTTTTTTTAAAGGAGATCATTACTTCTGCAAAAAGCACTTTTCCTGTCAGAAGAATAATCCATTATTTCTTACATCAGCCATACAAAAGCTGCATTTCAGACATAACAAGCACTGATTGAATGATTGTTATTCCAAAATTTAATCCCTTTATGCAACAATTCTGAACTGCTCCATCTCTTCAGCAGTGCAGTGTGAATGCACTCCCGAGTGTTGGGTTTGAGGGGCATTTCATCCTCACAGTACCCACATGAAGGAAGCGCATGTCTGTGAGCAGAACCACGGGTGTTTATCATTAGTAATAATAATTAATCACTTTACTAACAGAAATGGCTCAAACAGTCCTTTTTTAAAAGGAAAAAGGTGCTGGTACTCACCATGAAGTTGTTACAGTAAATGACACACTTTTAACATTGGGGGAGGGGGAGAAGGTGTCAGTACTGTGTAGACTTGAGTACCCCCAGAAAAAAAATCACTGGACTCAAAGCAATTTACATACAGTTCTCCTAGTTCGGGAATGGAAAACCTCTAGCGATCCAGTGCCCAGTTATCTGTTGGCCATTGACCATGCTGGCTGGCTCTCATTTATTTATTTATTTAGTTAGAAGATTTCATGCCCACGCTTTGCTGCAAGGTCCCAGAGCAGGATAGAACAACGGAGTGCACAAGGATAGAAACAACTAAAACCATTACAACTATCAAACCAATCCCAATGGAACAAAAGAGTACAAATTCAGCAAATACCTTAGCTGTCAAAGGCTGCGGTAAAGAGGTGCATCTTCAGCACATAGCAAAAGGAACACAGTAAAGTTGCTAGGCACCCCTCTGTGGTCACCAGAGTCCAACAACGCCTGGTTCCCCATCCTCACTAGTGGATCTCCCAGCAAATAATAGAAAAATCCAGTGATATACATTCAAATGCACGTGAAACAAAGGGCTACACAACCAGTGTTCAGAATGGGGTGTGGGGTTTTTGTGTGTGTGTTTTTGGACCTCTGAAAATGTTGGGTGTTGAGGCAGGAAACATGTCTAGACTGCCTCTGACAGATACCTGAGGGAGTGTGTCCCTTTTCTTCTACTTGACAACCCTGTCTAACTTGTCAGGGCGGTAAAATGTGATTTGATTTAACTTAAAGGAATAGATCTGTTGAAACAGTGTCACTTTCAGTCATTGCACTGAAAGGCTGCAGTGTACATTGTTCCACTGAAAGTGACAAGCATACTGCCCATTATTATAGGTCTCATAGCAGGCACTTAGCTGATCGTTCTGATCAGCTACCAACTGGTAGCACCAGCTGGATTGCTTTTTCTCCTCCAAAGGTAAACGATTTTAGCATCCAGTTTAAATTAAATTTGTGCAATTGTGCAATAGGTGTTGGAATAATGGCATTCCATGCGTGCATTAGAGCATTTAATCACCTTCCTTCTGGCAACAGCCTTTTCTTCTTCCCACTCACAAATTGGGGGGGGGCAGCGGAATGAGATGCTTGAAAACCAACAGGACAAAGATTGTGACACCACCATGCATGCCCAGTGTTAAATGTATGTAAGCAGAACCAAGGATTTTGGGAGCCAGATTAATATTACTCTCCCCCTGTCCTGCCCAAAAATTTCCCAAAGCTGATATGAATTCTAGGAGGGAAAGTGTGGTTGCTAGTATCTGCTACATGAGTGTATTTGGGGAAACTCTAATGCACAGGGATAGAGTTAAATCTCTATTGTGATCCAAGCGTTGCACAACATGACCCTTTGGACTCCTTCCAAATCTACAATTCTGTGATTCTGTCAGCCCAACATGGTCCCAGTCCTGCTGTTAAGTCAGACTGTTGGCTCAACTAGTTCATTCTTGCCCATACTGACAGCGGCTGTCCTTGAGCTCCATTCAGGGGCCCTTTTCAGCTTCTCAGAGATACCAGTGACCGAACCTGGGACTTTCTGCATCTACTCACCCACGTGCCTTTTCTCCAAACATCTGGCCTTCAGATGAACTTTGCGTAGGCTTTCAAGGTCTCTGGATGGCAGCCTATTGTGGATTACAGAAAAAAGACGTTGTGGAAAAATCTCCACTCCAGTTCTGCAAGGGAATGGAAGTAAGCCCATCCTATCCCATTTGTCTGTGGAGTTTTAAGGGGAAACCCTTTAAAATGCACATAGAAATGGAAAGGTACTCAAAGAAAAGGATCTATGAAAGGTGGTCTGAGGGCTGCAGTGCTGCCTCCATTTCTCTTAGCTCATGCATAGGGCCAAATTCTGCCCTCCAAGCCTGCCCCTCAGAGGCCACACATTCTCTCAAGTAATGATCCTTACCCCACCCCACCCCACCCCGCTTTGCCTTCTCCTGACAATGTCTCTTTCTTGCTTGGATGGAGGGCAGAGTGGGTGGGTGTGTAGAAACTAGCGTATGTGCAAAGAGAAGCATCACCTTCATTGCTCCGTCTCCTTTCACCATGGCATGTGGTCCCCCAAAAGGTTGTCCAGAAGAGAATGTGGACCTTGGGCTAAAAAAAGGTTTGCCATCCCTGGTTTAGCAGCCACAGGTTTTGGCTTGTTTGTTTGGTGTGGGCAGTAATTTCTGCATGTTTTGATTTCATTTACAGGGCCTCCGGTAAATGTGACATGCAACATCTTCATAAACAGTTTTGGATCCATTGCAGAAACAACCATGGTAAGATGTTCTTTATCACAAACAACTATATTTCAAATTATTTAGACTGCAATCCCATGCACACTAATCTGGAAGTAAGTCCCGCAGATCTTACTAGCACTTACCTTTGGATATACTTGCATGTAATCCTGATTCGTGATCTTTAAATGGCAGGTGGAGCCTTCTAAAATGAAACACACTTATTTGTGGTTAATCACCTGAGTGCTGAACAGGGCATATGCTTCCATGTAGTTGCATAGTTCCTGCATAAGCATCTCCATTCCTTTCACTGAAAAGGGCAGCTTCATGTCTGCATCCCTTTGCCAAGTATGAAGGATTATTCCTCATGTCAGACATTCAAGAAAATTTGTATTAAAATTCCAGAACTTTGTATTAAAATCTAACTTCTAAATGTCAAGGATTGAATTGGCTGTTGAATGCCTTTGAAGGAAACAAACCTATCTGGGTTTGTTTATTTTAAATGCATGATCGTTTACTTCTTTTCTGTCTATTATGTGACCTGGTGTTCTTTTCATCCCTTGTTTTTTACTCTGCCCTTATTTAATTTTCCTTCAGCTTACTGCTAGGGATGGAAGGATTTGCCAATTTCAGTTGTCTCATTTTGCCAATCTTAAATTCAGTTCTCAGTGTTTCTGCAGCAATTTACAAAACAAAAAACCAAATCCTCACGAAAATTCAGAGTCGATTTCTCTTAATAAACACATTTTGTATGTAGTTTTGACTAACACACACATTTTTGCAACCAATTTCTGCTAATATAATGCATTTTTTGGTGTTACTTCCACTATTGTATTTGTTTTTATGTACATTTTTATAAACATTTTTGGAGAATTGCATTGCAAAATTCAAAGAAGGGTGAATGTGAAGGAGAAATTCAATGCATTTCATCTTTCAATCCTAATTTATCATATTTGCACATTATGAAACAATATGGGAACATTCACACTTATTTGAATGGAAATGATAGCTCTACATGTGCAGAGCTGCTCTTTACATTGAAGTGAATGGATAAGTCGTTGCATAAGAATCCTATCAGAACAAGGTACCACTGGACTGGAGCAACTGAGTGGAACTATATTATGGACAAAGTGGGGAAGGTCCTAGGGAAGAGAGGAAGATGCACAGATATATACAGAAGTGTTGTATCCTGATCATACTGACTCCATAGTTTGACTCCATAGTTTATCAGTCTTTGGCAGACCCTCCTCACACACATTGAGATCTTTTCATTCCATGATAAGAGTCAGAAACTCACTCATCTAAAATGAAAGCTGCAATTAGGTGGGTACATGCAATACATATTCATCTCTAGGGCCTTGGCTGCAGTCAATTATAAATTATTGCATAGGTGTTTTTTTTATTTTTCACTGCTCATAGTACATCGTTTTCAGCACTCCCTAGTAAACTGCTGCTCTGAATGTAGAGGAATGCCAGGGCTCTGTAATAGTTCACTTCTAAATTATGCATTGATGCAGCGCAAAGGAGGACTTTCTTGCGGTCAGCAATTGTCAAATTCTGTCAGAATCAAAGCCATCATTTTGAGAATATGAGCATGTTTAAAACACACATAGCTCTATTTGTGACCTCTCTCTTGGTTTAGCATCTATATTCTTTAACTTCACTGTACCAAACAAGAAAAGCTCTTTAAAATTAAAGTAGGGATGTTTTGTACCTTAGTTACAGGTTAACATCTGATACTTCAATATAGCTAGGGAATATTTTGATGCTGTTTTCTTGAACAATTGGGTCACCTTTCAGATATTGTTTTATTTTATCCATGCCACTATTACATTTCACTTACTATTTTGGATGAAGGAGAAGTTTTAATTAAATCACTATCTAAATAGTTTTCTGAAGAAAGCTTAGAATTTAGGGGTGCAACATTTCCCCTACATTTTACTATGTTCTAAGTGCACAGCAGATGAAGATATTGTGTATGTTCTATATTCTGAACTATATATGTTATTTAACATGCATACCTCCTTCTCAAATGTGCATTCATGATATTTCACAGGAATCGAAGAAATACTGTTAAAGTCCATTTTATTTTTATTTTATGTAGCTTACTCTTTGACCCCCCCCCCTAATTAATATGTAGACCAAAATCTGTTATTTCCCTGGCTTGGTCATAAGAAAACAACCAACAGCTGAGTAAATTCAAAACAAGGTGTGTGTGTGTGTGTGTGTGTGTGTGTGAGAGAGAGAGAGAGAGAGAGAGAGAGAGAGAGAGATGTTTGCTTTTAAAAAGTTAGAGATCTTCAAGGAGAGTGTCATGCAAGCTACATCCACTGAAATTCCCTCTTCTCTACAACTAATAATGACGCAGGAGCTTTATCCTCTTTTGAATTATACCCTGTCTATAACTCTTTAAACTGTAATGGAAACATAGGAAACTGCCTTATGAAGATTCAGACCATTGGTCCATCTAGCTCAGCATCATCTACAGTGAACAGTAGTAGCCCTCCAGGGTTTCAGACAGAGCTTTCTCCTAGTCCTACCTGGAAATGCTGTGGATTGGGTGGGTGATCTGCATTTAAAGAAGATGCTCTACCACCAAGACATGGCCCTTCCCAAATGGGTCATGCTTGATTCTGTTACATTAAGTGAAAAAAGGAAGCTGAATGTGAAGGGAACTTCCTAAACACAACAGAAATGTGCTTGGTCAGTTATAGTTTCTAAGCATAGATCAACTCATGCCCCGTTTATCAAAGAATGCTAGAAGCTAATGTAGAAAACATAGCAATGGAGCAAATGAAGAAGGAAGTACATGCAAAATAAATTCTTAAAATTAAATTTTAGGATGGTGACAGTATCCAAGTAGGCTGAGCTTTATTAAGTTAGTACCCCCCCCACCCCCCGCCTGCATATGGTACTATTAGTTTATACCTTTACATACTCCAAGAGAGGATGGGACTGCTTTGCTTCTTCAGCTGGTCTCTCCTTTCCGTCAAACTTGGAATAAAAATGCAAGAGCTGGTGGTCACAGCTGCATTCCTCCCCCTTGCTTGTGGGGAGGGGTTACAGAAGCATCCTGAATTGTAGCCTGATAGCACTGTTTGCCTGTCACCAGCAAGGAGTACTAATGAATGAGAGCAGAAGGTGGCTAGCCTATAGCCGTTGGGTGACATTTTTGGACTCATCAGGTCCCATCAGCCCCAGCCAGCATGGCCAGAGATCAGGGACAATGGGAGTTGCAGGTCTAACAGGTCCCTGTAGGAACACAATTTTCCTACCCATGAACTAGGCAGTTTAGAACACTGTACAAAAAAGAAAGGGGGGAATCAAATGCAAGGGCCCCATTCTATGTAACCACACACTTGCCACATCACCATGCTTACCTAATGGCCAAACTGCACATAGAGGATTTCAAGGAATGTCCAGGTAGCCCAAAATTATCACCTACCTATAATTTTAAACCCCTTCAGTGGGTTTGCCCTCCGGGAATCAAGTTATTTTGGAGAGTTAACCATTCCTGAAGTCTCCCCACCCATTTGTGAAAACTTCAATCAGGGCCTTAAGTTTAAAAATGCTTTTAAGGTGTTACCATCTTAGGAAGTTCTTTCAAACAAGATCTTACATCAGCTTCTTAGAGAATTCTTGGGTCTGGCATCCATCTGTCCCAGGATACTATGGAGGAATGCACCTTTGGGGGTGAAGTCATACTGTTAGAAGGCTGCAACACCTGCTGTGGCTGTAGAGACAGATATGAGAGAGACATATATACAATAATAATGTTTGTGCTATATTGTTCTTTGTGCGTCTTGCTGGGATGTATGTTTTGAAACTGTAATGATTTATTTGCCTATTTTATTGTAGACTCTTCTTCTCATTATCAATATATTGTTTGCAGAGTGCCCTTCAGCATTTTTCGCGGCTGTTACATGTCACATTGGGTTAGAAGGAGAGGAGGCAACAAGTCAGCCCTGTATTTGCCAGCTTCCTATCATCAGGAATCTCCCATTCTTCAGGAAGTCTTTCTTTAGATCCTGCCAGTGACCCTTGCTATAGTTCTGCGATGATCTCCCGAAATGAGAGAGAGATTGTGCTTTGTTGTTCTTAAGCTGCTTAACAGAATACAGCAGCACTTCTGAAATAAGCAGCAGATCCTAAGAGACTAGTAAATGTGCCACTGTTTCATTGACACTTGGAAAGGGATCGAACAGCAAGCGACTTTAATGGAGCCAATTATCTGTGTAAAGGAACCATGTCTCTTGCTTAGTCCTGCCAAGCTTTTCCTCACAGGCATTTCAAGGCTGGCTGCTAATAGGCACATTGACTGGACCAGGAACAGGAAGTGACTGATCTGACTTGCATGCTGAAGCTGGCACTAGATTTGCTCTTTTGTGTGAGGCTGTCTAGTTGTCTTATTCTTAGAAAACTCAGGTCAAAGAAGCTGTTAATCTCATAATCATAGAGAGAGTCAGCCTTGGAAACACATTATTCACAGTTTGAAGAAGAACTAGGAAATTAGGCTTGCATGCTAACTCACTTCTGGCAGGTTCCATGTACCTTGCTGTGTGACAAATAAAAATTCAACAAGTGGAACTTTCACTCCCTGCGTCTCATACTGAGAAAATAGACTTACAGACACAGGGAGATGATTGCCAGCAGTGCCTAGCCTGAACAGCAAAAATGACAATTATTGTTTGGATGTGACAACCTCAGCTGTCCCAACTCCAAAGCTGCTAGCCCAGAAAACTCCAAAAATCCATTAGAATCAAGTGTGTAGCTTTGAATTTCATTGACAATCCAGGGTACAGAGAGTATGAATGGACAATGTGATGCCCTCCCAGTAATGTGTTTGTATTCCAGCCCCTGTCAACCCCAGCTATGATCAATGGTCAGAGATGATAGAGGCTGTAGATCAGCATCATGTGGGGACACCAGGTTGCATGCTGCTGGTGTAAAAAAGTGGCTACATGCCTTGCGTATGTTCAAAAGGCAAAATGTGGCAGACCATACATCATTCAAAATGTGGCAGACCATACATCATTCATAAT